AAAATGATTTAGTGATGAGTGATTTTAAGTAACTTTATAAAGTAATCTCATCAACGCCCCTGTCGCCTCTTGTGTTTTTTCCAATCCCTGGAAGGTTGCCTCTGTCATCCCTCTTCACAACCCAGGCCATCGTGACATTTGCTGGTAATTTCAGACCCATACCAATTTCACTTGTGATGTCCAAAATATGAGAAAAAAATTGTGCACGAGCAACTGTCGTCCTACCTCATTACCCATGGTCTTTTCGCTCCATCACAGCACGCTCGTAACATTGTTACCCAACACAGGACGCCCTCGTCAACGCCGTTGAGTGGGCGGTACGTCGGGTGGCGTTGGAGACATTGTCATCGTCACCTCCATTAATCTCAGCCGTGCCTTGGATGGTGTCGACCACGGTGTCCTGATTAAGCTGCAGTGATATGGCATCGATCCGAAATGGCTTGAGGGCCACCATGCTGGTCGGCAGAAGGTGTGAGATGCGGTCTCCTCTCTCTTTTCCGCTGACTCACGGGATCCCTCAGGGATCCTCGGTCGGCCCTATCCTCATCATCTTCACTAACGGCCTTTCATTTCACCGCCCTCGCGGACGGCTAGTGTCCTATGCCGACGACAATTGACTGCTAGACTCCGCTCATTCCGACCAATTGTCTGTTTTGAAACCCCGTCAGGAGGAAACCATCTAAGTGATTTCATCCCGCTTCACATCCACCCCATTAACTGAATCCCACCGAAATAGCCGTTATCCTTCTTGGCACTCCACACTCCATGAAGAGAACTTCATCTTTTCACCCCGACATTACGAGACACAAGTTAAGCCCTTCACCGGCCCTGAACGTGCTGTGAACTACTACTGAAAGTACCCTTTTCTGTGAGGTGCATTCATCCCATGTTGTCAAAAAGTGCAACTCAACTTTTCTTTTGTATAAAATTAAACTTAACAACAAGGACAAGGACTTAACAAGGTGGTAAACAACTTTTCTATTTGTATAAAATTCGTCACCACTTTACCCTCGCAGTTCGTAAACTTCTCGTCCAGTCCCATGTCTTCCGGAGCCCCATGCCCGCAGGCCCGTAGCCCCCTTCATCTTCTGTGCTGCCTCTCGGCCTGTGACGGAGCTGCGGCGTGTCATCTAAACGGAGTGCTAGAGGCAGATTAACTTGGGAGCCAGGATCGCCCTCGTCACCGGCACTCGTCGGCGAGGTTCAATGGCGGTGACTGCTCAAGCGCTGGGCCGGCGCGGTGTCAGTGACCTTGTCACTCACCGTGACGGTCTGGCTTGTACAGGGCCCTTAAAGGGAATATCCCATATCAAAATATAGTTAAGAACGCGCCAGATATGATGAAATACGCTCACCCATACGCATTGTTATACTTTTAATTGGAGAGGGATGATCTAGACGATACATTTCTCCTGTTAAGCAAATATGCACATCAATATGCAAGTCATTGAATGCGTCTTCCTACCTGGCACAACACTGATTGAGAGCCGATTGAAGGCCGTGATATCTGGAAATCGTGCTCACGGACGCCAAATATGAAGGACTCGATGTCGTATTGCACCTGGCCTTGGTCGCCGCATGGCCAACAGCATGCATGGCCTAGATCGCTGCATGGTAGGATTTGAAGAACGTTTTCATGGCGTCATTGATACACGGGCAAACTCGAAAAATCCCCGAAGTAGTATGCACCTGCCTTCGGGCGTTTAACTCAGATACTAAGAGATCTTAGGTCTTAAGAAAGGCAGGTCCGTGAACTGCATCGGATAATCTTCAAGATGGCTATTTCAGTTCAAAACTCCATACAAATGTTGACCACTCGCTTCTAATGATTCGCGGGTCCCGTTGACGATTCAATCCCTGTTCAACCCACGTACCGTCGTATGCCAACGTGCCACCTGGGCGGCAGCGACGGGCGCCCTTGATCTGCCAGCTGTTCGCATGTCGATGGTACGCAGTTTTTTTTTCGCACCGCGCAGCATCATCCTGCGAGCCACCTGCCGCCGGCCATCACTGGCTCACTCACCCGCAAGGGCGTTCACAGACTCTACGATAATGACGGTCCCGTTGTGCCATCTTTGTTTGCTTGTCGTTGTGTAAAATGTTTTGTCCATTTGGATTTAATTGATTATTTTGTTTTGACGAAGTTGTGTGAACGTCGGGATGATTGATAACCTGTGAATGTGGTCGCATGTTTGACAGTGTCTTCTGGACTATATTCGCTGCTGTCATTCGCTTCTGCACCCAAATACAAACCGGTAGGGAAACGATGTTCTTCCCTGTTATGGTCTCACTGCATGGGTTTGACTGGAGTGCTTCGAAAACGCTGTGGGCGGTTTTTGCCATATTTTAATATTGCATTTTTACTACTATTGCGGTTGTACCAAATCAGACAATGAGCAGCTCGTTGGAATGATTCGTGAATGAAATGAACATGTTTGAACATGTGCGTCACTAAACCACGTGATATATCGTTGGTGCATAGGTGTCCAGGGGCAAACACAGCCTTTCAGTGAGCTGAACATCCATGTTCACAATGTTTCCGAAAGCTCAAATAGTCTTCAAAAACATTCGCCGTGCAATATGCCATGGGGAAAACCAAAGTCACAGCATGGCGCTTCGCTGTGCCATAAAAGTTACGTTTGAGGTAAGTTTCAGTAACGCTATTGCGTCGCGGGCACGTCGCCAATTTAAAGGAAATTCTTACTTGCTGAACGAAATTGCCTTGTAAACGGCAGAAAATCATGTCTTCAATTGCACGTCCCTGAGACGTAAGCTGGGTTACGCTGGTCGGGTGAATGTGTTTAACTAAGGGACCATAAGGCATTTGTATTCGTGTTTGTAGTTGTGCGTTTGCTCGAAAACCATCCACAAAGTGTCTTTTCGGGTCTTCTGCTCGTTAAACATTCGCTAGCTTCGGCTTGTTACATCACTCACTCACTCGTTAAAAGAGTGAAAAATTCATGGGCATGAGCACGTTATGAGCCTCATCGTGTTAGTACACCTGGCTATGATGATGGTATTATCAATCCTGGTGTTCAGAGTGGGGCGTGAGCCACGGGCTGCTCTTAGGCATCTACATAGCACAACATACCTCACATAATTTCTTGAATAATGGTAAATAGATGATAAGAAGTCCAGAAAACCGTACCAATAAGGAACTAGGTGCACAATATGATATATATATATATATACATATATATACATATATTATATATATATATTATATATATACATATTATATATATATATATATATATATATATATATATATATATATATATATGTGTGTGTGTGTGTGTGTGTGTGTGTGTGTGTGTGTGTGTGTGTGTGTGTGTACATAAACTTAAGAAGCACATTATTCCTCACACAAATTGTATTGAAAATCACAGCGGACTGATGATCTTTTTCGATGGTTTGGCAACAAGAAAATTGGAATATAAGGAATCAAATTCATCAACTAAAAAAATGAAAATAAAATTAAGATAACTTAAAATGATATTTTTACCAATACAAACGCCACAAAGGAGACTGTGCGCCGCTGTCATCTAGAGCTGATATTGGCCACACAACGACAATTTCCAGACGTCTGACCATGCACCAACAAAACGGCGGCCCGCGCACACACACGGAGATCCAACACAAAACCCACCTGACGCGCCAAGTGCTCAACAACAGCACCGTCATCCCACGCTCCACGCAAAGGCAAAGACTCGTCGCTCTAGAAGCGATACACACCCGCGAATGGGACGCTCTCATAAATAGGCAAATGCGCGTGAAGCCTTCCATCTGTACAGAGGGCCACCATTAGGGCTAGGAGCACAGGAACATTGAGTGTTTCGCGTGTCGCGGATCAGCGTTGTTACCTGTCAATGATGAGCATATGTAATGTGTAAACGCTTATGTCTGCGTTGTGATATGTATGTGATATGTGTGTGGCATTACCGGTATTACAAAAAACCTGATGTAGTTGGACGTGAGGTCCTTCTTGCAGGTCCTTGTCGCGGGAGAATTTGAATTTTACAAATAGGCAATTATATCGACTTTGTCCAAAACTGTCACTCAAGAACATGTCTAGTGAAAGATGAAACGTTGAAAACATAACTGATACCGAGTCATACAGTATAGCAAACTATGTTTTCTTTGTATCACCAGCTTTGGTGCCAATTTAAGCGAACATTGTAAAGAGGTAAGAGTTGTCATCAAATTTATTGAGAAAACACAAAAGATGACTCTGCTGTGAGTTTGAACAGATATGCATATATACTATATATATATATATATATATATATATATATATATATATATATATATCTTACCTGACCTAACGTGAAGTGTGAAAATCCCAAAGGTAATGGCATGCATACGCACGTGAGGTATGCCATTGTGTAAGGTATGCCATTGTGCTTTCCCGTCGCCATAATCACGTCACAAGAAGCTCCTGTTGGAGCACGAATCTGTTTTTGACCTTGACCGATTAGTACCGTGCCGTCACATCGGAGCCACGCAGACCAGCAGCCGCCCCACGTGCTGTACCGGCTCCATTACACATTGGACCGCGGCCTGCCGCGCAGTCGCCGGCCAGAACAAAAGCGCTGGCCACGATCCGTGTGCGGTGCCTCCTCCCTCGGCGGCGTCAGCTGACCGTGCTTATCGTCGCTCGTATCTGCGGAGCGCTGGGTTCAGGAGGCGGCAGTGAGCGGGGCTAGCCGCCACAGCGGGCGACAGGGCCGGCCGACGCCTGCCCTCCCCGCGCCGCGGCGGATTGATCGCGGCTTGAAGTGGGGTGGCCGGCAGGTACGGCGGACCGGCGCCCCGCGAGCCGGCCAGTGACGCCGCGGGCGGTCAGGGCGTGGCAGCCGGGTCCGTGACGAGCGCCGTCCGACAGCGCCCGGGTCGCGCCCCTGTCGAGCGCGTCTGTCGGTGCCGCCGGGCTGCGGTTCCCCGCCCGGTCGGTGGCTGTCCGGGCTGGTCTGAGTGGCGGCGACCACTCCTCCGCAGCCATGGCTCCGCGCTTCACCCTGCTGCTGCTGCTGCTGAGCGTGTGCCGGCCGGCGGTGGGTCTGCTCTACCCGCGCGCCTCCGAGTCTCGTGACCTGGTCTCGCTGGACGGCATGTGGAAGTTCCGCGTCTCGCCGCCAAGCGACCCAGATGTCGGCTTTCGCGACCGCTGGTACAGCCGTCGCCTGGAGGCGTCCGGCGACGTCATCGACATGCCGGTGCCCTGCAGCTTCAACGACATCACCACGGAGCGCGCGGTGCGTGACTACGTGGGCTGGGCGTGGTACGACCGCGGCTTGTACGTGCCCAGCGCCTGGAAGGACCGCCGCGTGGTGCTCCGCTTCGGCAGCGTTAATTACATCGCCGTAGTCTGGGTGAACGGGGAGGTGGCCGGCTCGCACGAGGGCGGACACCTGCCGTTCGAGCTCGAGGTGGGCACGCTGCTCGACCTGTCCGGCGGCTTCAACTGGGTCACCGTCGCGGTGAACAACACGCTGGACCTGGAGACCATACCGCAAGGCCATATCACGTTCAAGACGGACGAGGAGCGCTACCCACCCGGCTACTTCGAGCAGACGTACAACTTCGAGTACTTCCACTACGCCGGCATCCACCGCTCGGTGCAGCTGTACACGACGCCGCGCACCGTGTTCATCAACGACATCTTCATCACGACTAACTTTAGCGCCGGTACTGGGCCTCAGCCGACCGCCTTCGTCAGCTACGAGGTGGACGTGGTGCGCACCGACGACAAGCTGTACGAGCCGGGCCTGGTCCGCGTGCTGGACGGACTCGGTGGCGTGGTCGCCACGACCGTGCTCGTGCTGTTGCCGGAGCACGGGCGCGTGCGCGGCATGGTGACGATCCCGAACGCCACGCTCTGGTGGCCGGTGGGCATGGGGGAGCCGGCCGGCCACCTCTACTCGCTGGAGGTGGTACAGATGACGCGCCAGCGCGGCATCCGCGGCGCCGACGAGCTCGATGTATACAGGGAGCCGTTCGGCGTGCGCACCGTCGCCTGGGATGCCGACCGGCTCTACGTCAACGAGCAGCCCTTCTATTTCCGCGGCTTCGGCAAGCACGAGGACGCAAACATCGTGGGCCGCGGCCTGAGCCTGCCGCTGATCGCGCGCGACATCAACCTACTCCTCTGGAGCGGCGCCAACTCGTTCCGCACCTCGCACTACCCGTACGCCGAGGAGCTGCTCGACCGCACCGACGCCGCCGGCATCGTCGTCATCGACGAGAGCCCGGCCATCGGCCTGGAGGGCTTCGGCCCGACGCTGCTGGCCAAACACCAGCGCGTGATGACCGAGCTGGTGGGCCGCGACAAGAACCGGCCGTCCGTGGTCGTCTGGTCGCTTGGCAACGAGCCCCAGTCGGACCAGAAAGCGGCCGGCCCGTACTTCCAGACGGTGTACAACCACACGCGCGCCCTGGACCCGACACGCGCCATCACCACCGTGGTGTCTGTGGCTCACGACGCCGACCTCGCCTCGGCCTCCATGGACGTGATATGCATCAACCGCTACTTCGCCTGGTACCAGGACAGCGGCCGCACCGAGCTGATCGAGCGGCAGATCGTGGCCGAGGCGCTCGCGTGGCGGCGCACCTTCGGCAAGCCGCTCATCGTCAGCGAGTACGGCGCCGGCAGCGTCGCCGGCCTGCGCGACCTGCCGGCCTTCATCTGGACCGAGGACTACCAGGCCGAGTTCCTGCGCCAGTACTTCCGCGGCTTCGACCGGTTGCGTGCCTCGCCTTGGTTCGCCGGCGAGATGGTCTGGAACTTCGCCGACTTCGCCGTGCCACAGGAGTACATCAGGCCGCAGTTCTGCAGCAAGGGCGTGTTCACGCGCGACCGAAAGCCCAAGCTGGCCGCCTACGTGCTGCGCGAGCGGTACATGGCCATGGTGCCCTGATCGCCAAAGGGAGCTGTCAATAATGCCCTGGTCGTCATAGGCAACTACCGATGGTGCCCTAAGTGCCATAGGGAACTGTTGGTGGTACCCTGATCACCAGAGGCAATTGTCGATGGTACCCTGATCACCAGAGACAACTGTCGATGGTGCCGTGATCACCAGAGGCAACTGTCGATGGTGCCGTGATCGCGAGTCTTCATACCGGGTTTGTTCGCACGGAACCGAAGGGCATCTGTTGCCATGCCAGGGTCATTGTAATCTGTGTTATGGGTGCTGGAGTGTCTTGTGACGCTCGTGTGTCTTTTGGGATGTGTGCGCCTTGAATAAAACAGAGGGGGGATGAAAAACGCCAACTCCGTCTCGTAAAATCCACTTTAGCAGAATCACGATTCCGAAGCGTACTTACTGTAAACGGAGCACCAGCCTGGTCTCCAAGACTGAGAGCGGCTTGGCCAGGCGGTCGGTGGACGTTGCTGGGATCACAAGCTTTGTCCACACAAAGATGATTGCCCGTATGTTGTGCGGAACAGGATCCGGACTCCAACGTGGCAGGATAGTCATGACACGAGGCGTCTATCACTGATGAACACATAGCTTGAGGTTAGCTGGCTACCATCTGAATGACATCACAACTGCGATTTTAGGTATTGTGGTAGATGACTTGTTTTTTATCTGCAATTAAAAACAAACCATCCAACCTGCTAATACAATGCTCTGCTGCCGACGCCAATGGAACAGCTACCTGTTTCTGCTCCCACTGAAAGATATGAAGATGATTGCCGCCAAAAGGTGCTTCGTCTAAGTGGGGCCTCGCATTCTGAAATGACCACCAAGCGGTACGACAAGGTCGCATGCCGTGGTGGGGGGGGGGGGGGGGGGGGGCTCGTGCCACATTCCCCACTCCTCAGTGGACACAGTTCGATCGGAACGATAGTTAAACACACTTTATTCGATAATGGATAAATACGCGACACACTACGAACCAACACTGTGATATGAATGCAGGCACAGTGTACAAATATCAAGCGTTAAACAGCGTACGGTAGCGGACCAGTGCAGGTGCGACAACAATCCACGTTGCATAGGTGCGGTGGGGCCGGCGAGGGCCGGCGGCGACGTGAGACCACAGCGGCTGCCGGCGGCGGCGTGAGACCACAGCGGCCGCCCGGCAGCTGTCGACAGACGGCCGCCCTCGGAGTGTCGCCCCAGCACGGCGGTGCGCCCGCGGCCGGGCAGCCGCCGGCTCCGCGGACAGGCAACGGCGCCAACAAACGCAACAATATATCACAGAAGGGGAGCCGAACGGCGGCCGGCTGCGTCCAGCGCCGCCGCCGAACCCAGTCCCGCGTAGAGCGCGCCCGTGGAAGACGGAAGTTGAACGTAGCGTGATCAAGTATCGATAAAAGCATATTGCACCGACGTAACGCAGCGCGAGGTTCGCCGACTGGCCGCCGAACAGACTCGCGTGACGACGGGCCGCGCCCGACAGAGGGCGGGCCAACATATCACAAGGGCAAACGCGCTACAAAAACAGGGGCCGCCTCCGCCGCGGTGAACACTAGCCCGACAGCGGGCGGCAGCGGAGACGGCAGACGATGGGGTGACTGGCCGGGACGCGGGCCGGGCAGGCGCGGCCCGCGCCCCTGTGGGGGTCGCCGGGGGCGGCGGCCGGGCGGACAGTCGGCGCTACTTGGCGTCGGTTCGTCGGCTGTGCGCCGTGTCCAACCGCAGGAACTCCTGCTTGAGGTAGCTCAGCGTCTTCATCAGCACCTCCTTCTCCTCACGGAGGCCCAGCACCTCGTCTTCGGCCTCCCGACACCTGGCAAGGAGGCGGGTCAGGTCAGGTCAGGTCAGGTCAGATCAGGTCAGTATCAGCATCAGACCAGACCAAGGTCGCAACACGCCAGGTCAAAGAGACACAGCCAGATGGTGGGGTCGCGCCAAAACAGGTCGAAGAGACGACCTCTCTGGCTGAGCACCCAACCGAAACAACATCCCCACCCAAATAAATATCACACCTGTCTCATCCCCACAGCGCACCACTGACCGACCCAGCCCCTGAACCATCGGCTGACGCGCCACCAGCGGGCGCCCGCGGCCAGTCCGGCGACGTCGGCGGCAGCGGCGACGGCAGTCTCACCTGGCCTCCAGCGCGGTCAGCTGGCTCAGCCGCTGCTCGGAGCCGCGACGCTGCTCCAGCTGGTCCTCCAGCAGCTGGCAGCGCCGCCGCAGCCGGCCCAGCTCGCCCTCCGAGCCTGACGCAGGGTTGTTGAACGAGCTGGCGACGTCCACCAGCGAGCAGGAGCCGGAGGGACCGGTGCCGGCGCCAGCGCCACCTGCCGCCGCAGACGCGTCGGTCAGCGCGGCCGCGCGCCATCGTCACGGACGCCTGTGTCGCCGCTCGAAGCATTTGTTCGCCACCTCGTCACAAGTTTCACCAGTCAGCATCGGTTTCTCGAGCACACCAGCCACGTAGCGAGTCTGCTTCAGGATGGAAAACTCTCCAGGAACGTAGACGAATGCATCAGCTGAAGCAGCCATGCGATCTGTGCTGATGTTCACAACTACCTTCTTACAACCAAACACACATTTTAAAGCGAGACTGCTGGTCACATCCGCACGCACCGGCACAGCGGAATTCCGTCCACTGAAATGCATGCATGGCAGCACACAAACCTCGCTCAACGCATGGCGCAAGATCATCTTAACCCTGCTCCGTGTGATGAGCCTATAACTAATCCACGCGTGCCCTCCAACACACTCTACCCGGGCCACCTCTGGTGTCGCCGGCCGTGGGCCGTCTCCGCTCACCTGGCGTCGGCTGCTGTACGGTGAACACACCGGCGCCGTTCCTCGTGACGTGCACGGCTGGCAGGCGCAGGTCGAGCGGCACCACGCCCGGGCTCGTGATGTTGTTGGGCGGCCGGTCTTCTGTGAGGCGCAGCTTGATACGCTCCAGGTGCAGCTGCGGCGACGGGGCGATCGGTGGAGGAGCAGGCATGACATGAGGGAGGGGGTGGCATGGGGTCGGGCTCTGTGAGAGCCAGCGTGCCACACCCACCGGTGGGTGCATGAGCCCAGCGCGGGGCGGCTGCCCACTGACCACCAACAGGTAACAAGGCCTGCCAGGGAGTAAAACGAAGGCAATTCGCATGCTGAGGTGTACCGGTACTGCGAGCAGCGATCACAACATAACATGTGGTGGCGGACAAAACAGACATCATTTGTCTTCCTTCCTTACCATCTTCGCCCCTGCGCACATTAAAGTCCTTGTTGGAATGGCACGCGCGTGATTGGCGTACTCACCACTGACTGGCTCTGGCCTCGTCCCTCAGATCAACATCCGAGAGCAGGTGAGCGGCGAGCTGGAGGTGCGTGCCAGCGAGCTGGAGCTGGCTCTGCTGATGAGCACCGTCACCAACCTGACCGACTTCATCGAAGACGAGATCCTGCCCGTGCCACTGCCGATGGAGGTAAGGCTGCTGGCCGGCCGGGAGCCGGCCGTCGCAGCTGCCGCCTCTGGCCCCGGCATCGCCGAATAGACAGTGGTTGGGGGGGGGGGGGGGGAGGGTAAGGACTTTAATGTGCGCAAGGGCGAAGATGGTAAGGAAGGAAGACAAATGATGTCTGTTTTGTCCGCCACCACATGTTATGTTGTGATCGCTGCTCGCAGTACCGGTACACCTCAGCATGCGAATTGCCTTCGTTTTACTCCCTGGCAAGCCTTGTTTCCTGTTGGTGGTCAGTGGGCAGCCGCCCCGCGCTGGGCTCATGCACCCACAGACAGATAGGGGGGGAGGGGGACCCAGCATGGTTGCGGCAGAGTTCAACGGTCACCTGCTGACAGGGCCTATGGCGAGACGGTGGGGACTTGGAAATGGTCTTGAACACAAGCATGGGTCGGCCGTCATATGTCGCCTAACCACAGCGTGAAAAGTGTGAAGCCGAGCCCGATGCTGGGCAGCCAGAATCCCAGGGGCATTACAACTTAGGTGATGACCCTGCTACATCCCGCCGCGGTCGGCTGTCGATAATATCAGCCACGGCTGATATTACCGACAGTTTCGCCGAAACTGAACAGAAACGCGCCGCTGTACCCCGCAGCGTTCACTTGTCGGCTATTTCTCTTTTCGGGAACACGCGAGACTCCTTGACTTAACTGCAAATGGTCTTAGCTCATATATTCAAGATAACGTAGCGCAATGCTTCAATTATTTCGCGGTGGGATGCACATTTCAAGGAGAAAACACACAACAACGTCCAGCATCCCCTAAATTGTATCCATTCCTTTTCCTCGTGGGAAATATTAGTTATGACTGACTGCAATAAAGACACCACCTAATTTCAGAAAAACACGTCTAAAGGAACGAGATCAGAATCGCGTGCCGTCAACGAGAACAGCGCATCACAGAACAGAACCACGTTCCACTTTGTGACGCACCATCGGCACAAGATGGCCGCTGGCCACGCGGCGGTGCGCGGCCGGCCGGAGGTCAGGGGGCGGCTGGGGACCGTGGGGATGGAGCGCCACCAAACAAGGTAATCAATGTTTGGTGACGGGTTTCCAGACGCCTATGAAACGAAAAAACACCATCACAAATATTGAGTTATCTCACAGATACAAATTTTGAGACAAACGACGACGTAAGATAGTTAAATCTTTAGCACGATAGCGCGTTTTTTCAATCCAAGAAAACCTGACGTGGCGTCTTGACGCTTCAGGTCGCCGCCACGCCAGGTAAACACGACAGCTCGCGGTGCATGTTTCCCCTCAAAGAGGAAAGGGGGAGGGGCAGCCCACACGGCCGAGGGCCGGTCTGGCGTCCGTTCACTCACCACGTCCCGCTTCCGCATGGCAGAGGAGAGCGACACCTCGCTGTGTGTGTCCTCAGTCACCTCGCTGGCGATCTCCACCGACGGCACCCGCTTCAGCGCCCCCTCCACCACAAACAGCGGGTCCACGGACTCTGCGGGGAGGACGAGCGGCCGCCATCAGCACGCGCCCCACCACAGCGAGGAGAGCGTACACACTGAGCCGACCAGGTGACCTTCGGAAACGGCTTACAATACAGGGATACGCGAGTTGGGGTGTCTCAGCCGCCATAGCCCATCAGAATGTCGACCCAACGGTGTTGAATAGACAGGAGAGCGGCAGCGGGGCTTTCACTGGCTGTTGAGACGAGTCAGCCGCACATCCTCAGCATAAAGACGGCGCTCACCAAACGGATGCCAGGGGTCATCTTGGACATATCCATGTGAAAGGTACAGCCATACATAACGCCATTTCTCGCCAAGGGATAACAGTGGAAGATGGAAGTTCAATTGAGTGAGAACATCCATCATCCGCCACGCCGCTCCCTTCATACACCAAATGTAAGCATGACACACCGTGTGCTTCAGCTCAAGCGAATTACTCATATGTCATACTTAAACAGACACTAACGACTCCGCAGGTGGGCGAGCACACTGACCCGACTTGTCGAACTCGAGGTTGAGCAGCACGTAGCTGTCCGAGTCGGACAACATGTCCGACATGACCGACATGGTGTCGCTTTGGTCGTCGGGGGCTCTTGAGCGCCGAGTCCAACGACGACAGGAAACTATTGAGGCCGCGCTTCACCTGGCTCAGACCGGCGCCCAGCTCGGCCAGCGGCGGCGTAGGCGAGCCGGCGGCGCCGCTCGCCTGGCTCACCAGCGTCGTCGGCACCGGCCGCGCCACCGCCGAGCGGCCGGCCGCCGCCGCCGGCCCGGCAGACACGTGGTTGGCCTCGGCGGCGGCGGCCGGCGGTGGCGGCGGCGCGGGCGGCGGCTCGTTGGCAGGCAGCAGCGCCGCCGTCACCTCCGAGAGCGAGTCGACGCGCGTCGGCAGCAGGCCCGCCTCCTAGAAGCTGGTGACGCTGGACGAGTCAGGAAAGACGGACAGGTCGCCGCCGGACGAGCCCTTGCTGGAGAGCAGGCAGGGCATGAGCAGGCTGATGTCGAGCTGGGGCAACGCGGCGCTGACACACTGGCTGCCGGCGCCGGCCGCGCCCAGCAGCCGCTCGGCGTCCAGCGTCAGCAGCGCCGACATCTCCGACAGCCGCTCCAGCTGGCGCAGCAGGAACAGGTACTGGAAGTGGTTCAGCTGCGGCTGATCAGGCTCGGCACGTGCAGCACCATGGTGAGATCGCTGACGCGGCCATCGCTGACGCTGCCCCTTGTTGCGGTTCTGGTACACCCACATGGAGACGGGAATGGCGTCGATGAACGGCACCGGCCGGTGGCGCACGGCCGACGTGCCGAAAAAGTCGCCCCAAAATGGGTCCATGTGGATGAAGACGACGTCGCGCGGCTCCTCCCAGAGCAGGCGGCCGGGCAGGTCCCGTCGGAAGTCCGGCACCCGAGGCGACCACGTCCGCCGGCGCCGGCTGCACGTGGTCCTTACCTGGCGGCGGCGGACAAGGTCTCCATGTCAGACGCGCCCGCCGCACAACAACGCCGACTGGCCACCGACCATGCGCGTGGGCCCAAACACAGGCTCGCAGAACGGAAGACATCGAGAATAAACACAAACAAACCGGTGAGCCGCACATCCCACACTTGGGATCAGCAGCGAAGACAGCAATAGTGACAGTCACCGTGCTCATAGGAAACGCACGTGCTGTACCCCGGTGACTGACATTACAGGCGGCAAGCATCCGGCGCACGGGCAGTTGCACCAGAGCGCCGCAGTAGGCAGCCAGTCAGACGGACCAGGGCATGGCGAAATTCGCTTATAGGCGCCCGCCGCAAAATAGCACACTCTGGAACACGGCGGCCCCTTAAACCAGCGATCGTAACTATCAGAGTTTTGAAACCGGATACTTGCGACAGAGGCCGGGGAAGAGGGCTGTTCGGGCAGGGGCGGCAGCGGTCCAGGACGTAGCGAGTGTGTGCTGCATCAAGCCGGGTTCGGACAGGGGGCGGCAGGCGTCGAGGACGTACCGAGTGTGTACTGCACCAGCCTGTCGGGCAGGGGACGGCAGAGGTCGAGGATGTACCGAGAGTGTACTATACCAGCCGGTCGGGCAGGGGAGCGGCAGAGGTCGAGGACGTACTGAGTGTGTGCTGCACCAGCCGGTCGGGCAGCAGACGGCAAAGACCGAGGACATACCGAGTGTGTGCTGCACCAGCCGGTTAGGCAGCAGACGGCAGAGATCGAGGACGTACCGAGTGTGTGCTGCACCAGCCGGTCGGGCAGGGGGCGGCAGAGGTCGAGGATGTATCGAGTGTGTGCCGCACCAGCCGGTCGGGCAGGGGACGGCAGATATCGAGGACGTACCGAGTGTGTACTGCATTAGTCGGGTTCGGGCAGGGGGCGGCAGAGATCGAGGACGTACCGAGTGTGTACTACACCAGCCGGTTGGGCAGGGGGCGGCAGGGGTCGGGGACGTACCGAGTGTGTACTGCACCAGCCGGTCGGGCACCATCTGCAGATCACCGTCGCGGGCCGGGAAGTCGGAACCGAACGCCATCTCGCCGGCCTGCAGCCGCTCTAGGCACTTGGTCAGGCCGGCCAGCGACCTGCCGCGCGCACGCAGACATCACACAACGGTCCGCTGAGCTGTCGGCGACGCGGGGACCGAACGGGCCGGACCCACCAGTGAGCCGGCAGACACGCGGATCCGAACGGGCCGGGCCTACCAGTGAGCCGGCGGAGACGCGGGTTCGAACGGGCCGGGCCCGCCAGTGTGCCAGCGGAGACGGCAAGCCAGGCCCATGACGACGGAGCTGCCGCTGCCACGTACATCCCACACGCAAACACTCGATCAAAAGTCTGAAGCGGGTGCCAGACTTGGCCAGAGGCATTTCGCAGACACGGACCGCCTCACACCTTGTCCGTCTGGCAGGGATCTGACACCAACACACAGACGTGACGTGGATCTGTCGGGCGGCGCGCACCGGGCACCTGCCGGTCCGGCGCGCCATACATAACTGCCTCTACGGGGGGCGCATCCCGACTTTTCAGGCACACATCAGGGTTGCGTAAGTCTGGCAAGCGGTACATCCTCACACTATATGCAGACTACGTAAACGTTAACGCCCCGGCACCAGACCACCTGAAAACGGTACATACCAGGACCTCGTTCATCAGTACACACTCTAGTCATTCCATCAGTGTCAGGGCACATACCCCGGCTCCGTGCAGCAGCACGTACCCGGGCGCAGTAGGGTCGGGCGAGCGGTAGTTGCAGACGAGCAGGCGGGTCGTCTGCAGCTGGAGCGTGCTCGGTCAGGTCGCGCTGCAGCGGGTAGTCGTGCGTCGTCTCTAGCACCAGGCGCGGCATGATGGCCTCCAGGCGCAGGTCGATGTACGGCGCCGGCGCCGAGCCGGCCGTCGACAGCGACTTGGTCAGGTTGCACGCGAAGGCGTTCAGGCCACAGCACGGTGATAGGTGTCGACGATCACCTGTACAGGGTTGACGTGCACCATGGCCTTGGGCGGCGGCACTGCGGTGGAGAGCGGGCGAGGGGGAGGGTTAACGGGCCGGCGCCAGAGGGCGCCGGGCGCCGGCGTCAATTTTTATAGGTTTTCAACATTCAGCGGATTAAACGAGGAGTACTTGCAAGTCATTGCTATGATACAGGGTACATCTGACTTAGACTTTCAAATACGCGAAAAATACGTGTACATGCAAACGAATTCCAGTTAACAGGTGGCATCACGCTAATACATCATTCATGCATGCAAGTGACTTCAAGAAACTAACTGCAAGTAAACAGGCATCGCGCACCACGTGTCACTTATATCCATGCAAACGAATTCAATAAACAGGCATCGAACATCACGCGTCAGGCATCGCTCAGACATGAACACGATTCTAAAGGGGATGTTCCACCTTTGAAGCTATTGAGGTGAGCATCAGATATGGTGGGAAAAACTTACTTGCAGCTATTGGTAAACTTTCAAGGCTTAAAAACGACCCTAAGTAGCAAAATATTAGAGTTTGTAAAAATGCGCTCCATTACGTCATCGCTTGATGGCGTCATGAAATCAATTTGTGACGACGGCATCACCCGACAGCATCTGGCAGCCAGACCTAAAGAATGGCTCCAAATGCACGAAAGCTAACGCCAGCCGGCCATTCTCATCGCGGGCGCTGTGTCGGATGGCGGTTTAGTGAATGGCTTGTTTGTGATTTTTTGTCTTAGTACTGATCGTAGGAAAAGCTTTGGTGGGCTGTTTGACAAACGCAACGTACCGACCGCCAGCTTTTATGGCAGATTATTCACATCAAAGCACGATATACTGTGAAAATTGTCGTACAGTGCCATGAATCTCTCACCGAATCCTGTCAAGAACTGTTAAGGATGTCAATACTGTATTGTAGACCTATGCTTGCCTGCAGTGCTGTAGTCCTGACATTGATATCTTATGATGTGCACAGTCGTTACTTTCTTTAATATTTGTAACTGGAAATGCAGTCACATGCGAAGATAAACAGTACATCTATAACATTGCTATGAATTGATTACCAAAGTATTGTCATTGCTATGGTGAAGATGATGAGGTTGAGCTACCAAAAATGTTTTTCTTGCTCAGGACTATTCACGCATTCGCTGGTTAACGCTGATATAATCATGTGATACAGCGGCAATCTCATGGGTGATAGCCCTTTGCCAGTGTTAAATTGTTTGTTGCCAGTCATTCATAAATCATAAACTGTTATCTTATAGGCTTGAAATACAGTAGTCAACTAATGTGGCACATTGTGTAACGGCACAGCTCAACAGTCATTGTGGCACCACCTCATTGCTGTTCTGTGGCATGGCATAATGGACAATGACGCGGTTGTTGTACTGCAGTCCCTGCTACTTTCATAATAAATTTCATCATGAGAAGATGAATCGAGCGTGCATTGTTATATTAACGCCGCGTCTGACTGACCTCACTTGCTCAGCCTATTTTGGGAATCCACAATACGACAGTGACAGACGTAAACATGTCTTCTGCTTCCACAGCCATGCAACATGCCGCAGCCATCAGGATGCTCCACTCAAAAGTATTGTTCACACAAGTAATAGCACACGTATAACAACAAATATTACATGTAGTGAAATAACACTGCAAACCTGCTGACTGCACAAAGCTGAAGATAGGACAGGTGCATGTAGTTATTAGATGGGCGAAATGAAAGGCAGTGACGAAGCTGCCAGTGCACACAAGGCTCACGATAAAGATATTGTTGAGTGCCATCCAAGAAAGCAACAACAATACTCTTTCATCTTTCCCAGCACCCAGCAACTCACACAAGTTGCAGTGACTATGACATAAACCACTTACAAGCAATGCTTGCCTGCCTACAAAATTTGTTGAAACAGTAATATTTGCATCCATAAAAATGCATCTCTATATGTTTCGAATTATTAATGGAAAAGCAACTTTGCAAACTCGCATCATGCAAGTTTTACCACGCATATGCATTAATAAGCCTCACGGAC